CTTGTTGCTCTTTTATAGACAATACCATTTTTCTCTTCCCTCCTCTCTCCCCCCCCCCTTTTTATAATTGTGGCATTTTAAGAATGTTATGGAACTGTATGTAATCTTAACTGTATGTTATGGAACTGTATGTAATCTTTTCGTATTGACTGTTTTTGCACAGCATGACTCCCTAGAGATGCATCTAGGTTTTATGTGTGTATGCTAAAAGTTCATTCCTTTTTAATGCTGAGCAGTATTCCATTGTAAAGATGTACCATGGTTTGAAATTCATTGTGGAAGAACATTTTGTTGTTTCCAGATTTGAGAAATGACACTAGAGCTGCAATAAACATTTGTATACAGGTTTTTGTATGAACATCAGGTTTTCTCTTTGTAGAAAGTGTCCAGGAGAGCAAATGGCTGGGTCATCTGTTTAGTTTAAGAAACTTTCAGTCTGGGGATGTAGCTCAGTGTGAGTTCTTTCCTAGTATATGTAAAGGCCTGGGTTTACTCCCCAGCCCCACAAAAAAGATTGAAACTAACAACAAAATACACCAACCACCAAAATGAAAACAATAGAAACTTTTCACAAAGAAAAGCTCAGGACCAAATGACTTCACTGGTGTATTCTAGCAAATGTTTAAGGAATTAACACAGACTCTTTAAACACTCTTCCAAAAAAGCAGAAAAGGAAACAACACTTCCCAAACCATTTTCTGATTCCAAAGCCAACATTAATTGTAATTCTGTACACTGGCAGTGAACAACTTTAAAATGAACTAAGAAAACAAAATTCCATTTATAATAAAATCAAATTAGTAGTTAGGAATGAATTAAACAAAACAGATATAATATTGTATTAAATTTCTCATTGCCACAGATTATCAAAGGGCTATATTTGATAATATAAATATTACACATCCCCTCTTATTCTTAGGGGGTGGGTTCCATATCTCCAGTGGATGCCTGGAACTTGGATAGCACCAAATCCTTATATATACTATGTTTCTTCCTAAACTTACCTATGATAAATTTTAATTTATAAGTTAGGCACAGTAAAAAATGAACAACAATAAGTATTAATAAAGTTAACCATGATAACAATATATTTTAATAGAAGTTATTTAAAACTTATGAATTATTTACTTCTGGATTTTTCTACTTAATATTTTCAGACCACAGTTTATTACAAGAAACCATGACAGTTAAACCTGTGATATAGAGAGACTACTAGACACTGAAAACTATAATATCTCATTGAAAGAGATTTAAATAGATAATCAAGAGACAAGACATCTCATATTCATGGATTAGGAGACAATATTGTAAAAAGAGGGTGGTACTCCTCAAATTGATCCACAGATTCAGTGCCATCATATAAATCCAAACTGGCTTTTTTTCTAGAAATTGACAGGCTGAAATTAAATTCACCTGAAAGTACCAGGGACCCAGAATTACCAAAAATAACCTTGAAAAATAATGATGTTAGGAGATGCATACACCCCAGTTCCAAAGCTTACTGCATAGCTATAGTAATCAACATGGCATAAGACTAGACTTGTATATTAATGGAATAAAATTAAGAATCCAGAAATCAACTCTTAAATTTTTATGATCAGTTAATTTTTGAGATAGCTGCCAGAATAATCTAATGAGGGAATCAATAGTCTTTTCAACAAATAGTACCTGGACAATTAGATATACACATGCAAAAGAACAAAATTGGACCTCTGCTTTACACCATATACAAAATTATTTCAAAGTGTATCACAGACCTAAATGTAAGAGCTAAAACTATGAAACTCTTAGAAGAAAACATAGTTATAAATCTTCATGACCTTTGGATTAGGCAATAGTTTCTTAGATGTGACACCAAATTTCAAGAGGTAAAAGAAAAAAATGATATATTGGACTTCATTAAAATTAAAAATGGCTGTGCTTCTAGGAGATTGTTAATGAAATGGAGATAGAATGAGGTAGATAACAATATTTGAAGCAATAAATATTAAAACATTTCAAGTTTATGTTCTTAAAGGTCCCAGTTTCACTAGGAGCAGTCATGTAAACCAAACAACTCAGGAAGTTGAGGCAGGAGGAACACAAATTCAAGTCCAGCCTGGACAACTTAGCAACACCCTGTCTCAAAATAAAAAATAAAAAGTGTTGGGGGATATAGATCAGTAGTAGAAAACCCCTGGATGCAATCTCCAAGGCAGAAAAAAAAATCCTTCTTTTTCTTATAATTCCCTATAATCATTTTCGAAAATAACTCTTCTTACTTTAAAGTATTCTAACACTGTGCATATTTATACATGTAAATACTATAAAATTCAATAAACTGATATCTTGCAATCCAAAATCCTAATGGTTGATATCTGATTAAAAAAAATGATCTGAAGAGTTATCAGAGATTCAGTATCTGTGACATATTCCATAACCTCCAAAGTATATTTTTGGAATGAGTGTTGGTAGTGGATTAGAATAAGAGAAAGTGAAAAATTGAGGATAAATTAACCTGGCTGGGTGTAGTGGCACAAACCTATAATCCAGTGAATTGGGAGACTGTGAGGCAGGAGGAACAAAAGTTTGAGGCCAGCCTCAGCAACAGAGTAAGGCCCTATACAACTTAGTGAGACCCTGTCTCAACATTTTAAAAAGGCAGAGGATATAACTCAGTGTTTAAGTGCCCTTAGTTCAATAGGAGATGGCTATATTTCATTCCATTTTCAAGTATTCAGATTATTTGAAGCTGGAATCTAGTCCTTGTGTTGTTAGACTTTAGTTTCATTCTGTTGTTCACAAAGAACATATCTCATATGGTTTAATTCTTTAAATTTGATGAAATTTGTCTTGAGGGCTTGGATATAATCTGCTCTGGAGAATGTTCCTTGTGAGTTAGGAAAAAAAAAGTGCATTCTGCTATTGTTATATGGGACATGTTTCAGTCAGTTTTGCATTACTACAACTAAATGTAAGAGACAACTAACCTTATAAAGAAAAAAGGTTTATTTGGCTCACAGTTTTGGAGGTTTAAATCCAAGATTATGCAGCCTCATTGTTTTGGCCTCAGGTGAAGGCACCAGATAGTAGTTTAACTATTCTAAGTCTAAGGGTGATGCTCTTTGTTTCTTTTACTTGAGGTTTATTAAAAATCTTTGAAAAATTTTGACCATTGCTTCTTCAAATGTTTTTCTGCCCTCTCCTTTTTCCTTCTGATACACATGCATTTTGGTTTACATGCATTTTGGTTTAGTTGATGTTATCCTGCAGGTGTCTGAAAGTCTATTTATTTTCTTCAAACATTTCCCCCTCCGTTCTTCATATTTGATGTTATGCTATCTATCTTCATGTTCACTGTATGAGCCCCTCTAGTGAAATTTTTATTTCAGGGATTGTAGTTTTCAACTCCAGAATGTCCATTTGTTTATTTAAAAAAGATTTGTCGAAAAAATCTATTTGTTTAAATTTTCTATGCTTGTGGAGTCATTGTTTTGGTTTCCTTTAAGCATTATTCTCTTCAGTGCTTTGGACAAATTTAATTGCTTTGATATGTTTGTCTGCTAAACCCAATGTATGAGGACCCTCAAAGACTGTTTCTTATTACCTTTTTTTTCTTTCCTTAGTATAAGTCACACTTTTCTTTTCATTTTTTATAGTTTTGCTGAAAATTGAACTATTTAGATAATATACCATCTCCAGATTCTGATTGCATTTTCCCTAAAGGATTGTCATTGTTGATTTTTATTTATTTGTTTAATAACTTGCCTAGAGTAAATATGTTTGTTTTGTGACATGTGGGAACTAACATTTCTGCTCAGTTTATTATTTATTTTCCCTCCCTTCCTTCGTTCTGTCTTTTCCTTCTTTCTCTTTCTCTTTCTTTTCTATCTTTTGTGATGATTAAACCCAGGAGTGCTTTACCACTGAGCTATACCCCCAGTCCTTTCTGATTTTTATTTTGAGAAAAGGTTTCACTAAGTTGTTATGGCTTGCACTTAAGTTGCTGAGACTGGCCTCAAACTTGAGATGCTCTTATCTCAGCCTCCTAGTTGCTGGAATTATAAGGTTGCACCATCATGCCTAACTATATTGTTTTTCTCTTTAAGGCTGAATTTCTAGTAGTGACCATACATGTCACTCAGTGCTTGCTTAATGATGTGTTCAAATGCATAGAGCCAGTATGGTTTTTCCCTTCTACTGACAGCAGTATGTATAGATTGGGGAATATATTCAAAGTTTAGGCTGTTTTCGAGTTTGTCCCAGTTTTTATGTTCTATTGAGATCTCTTGTGTCCCTAGCCAGGAATATATGGATAGCTGTTTCTAGTCTCTTCTACATATACATGTAAGCCTCTGTTTGGCCAGGAATATGTGGAGAGTATATCAAGCCCATCTGTGGCTGCCTTTCCTTCAAGATTTCTCTGTTAAGTCCCTTGCTCATCTGTCATTTGGCTTACAGCAATGGGGACCAAACTTTCATACTTGCTTGAATAGATTTAGGGTTTCCCCTTTTACTTCCGGGCATAGATTTCCTGCTTTCCACTCCCAGTGAGCTCAACTACCTCGGTTAACATAGCTGCCAGTTTTTGTGGCTTGTTCTACCTTGGTAGAACTATCCCACTAACTTAACTGGTAGAGGAGAAAGGGTTATGAGAACAGGCCCAGGAAAGAGGGCCCACAGACTTCTGCTCCACTGACCCAAGTTCAGATTTCATAAACAAATATTTGACAATTTATTGTGTATCTTTTATCAATTTCCAGACACTTGAGATGATTGTTAATATTTTTTTTCCAGCTATATATTCACTTTGAAGAGATAGAATTGCCAAATTCTTTATTATGTTGGAAGTCGTTTCTTTTGTTCTTTTTTCCCTCCTTCGTGTTTTTGAGATGTTTATGTTTTTCATCTGAGAACATATAAAATATTGCATAGAAAAACATGTGATTTTAAATTTTATTAATGTTCTAAGATATTACAATTGTAATTAAGCAGAAATTAAAATTTTTCTATTGTTGCAGATTTCAAGTTCAACATACAAAGATAAGAATGAGGAATACAAAAGACAGTTCACACATCTACCTGATACAGAGAAGCTGATAGCAGGTAAAAAAAAAAAAAGATGGAAATTTGCAAAAAACAAACAAACAAAATCCATTTTTAACCATATTATCAAAATAGAAGTGACATGTGACAGTGTATGTAGAAAATTTAAGCCTTTATGTAAGAGAGAAAATAGTTTTCAAGATAAGCACCATCTTCTCATTCACAATTAGACAATATAAAACTAAGTTATAATTTGGGGAGGAGTGATTTCTGACTTAGTAGGTAAGAAATAGAATTAAGTACTAGGAAAATATAAATAAGAAGAAATGATTTGTCACAGTTTCTCCTGGTACTTGTTTAATATGGTGTTAGAGGAAATATTTAAGCTTGATATTCAATATATATTAACTCTCCCTGAAAAGATACACGCTTTAATGAATGTACTCATAGAGAAACTTAATAAAACATTTTAGAGATGAATTAGTATTCATGTCTTTGTTCACATAGACGTTTTTTTTTTCAGAGAAAAAAATCATTTGGCTTATGAACGTACTTCATTTTTAATGTAAGCTTATTACAGATTCATGACAATAAATTATAGGACTAGGTGTTAATTTTAGAATATTTATTTAAAACATTTGTGGGAATTTCTCAGATTTGATACTATGAGGGAATGTGTAATTCAGTGTAAATGATTTTCCAGACGGTTCAGGTCAATAAATATGTTGATGGATTACAATATTTTTTAAAATATTATTTATTGCATGTAACATTCTCATGAAAAAGTTTTCGAATTCTACATTGAACAGTGAGTGATTCTTTCAACCAAACTTCAACATTGTTACAGGGAGATAGCCACTGTTGGCAGTTTCTTCTATGTATTTACAGAAATTTTCTGTGTGTCTTTAGGAACATATGTGTATATATTGCTAAAAAAAAAGTTAAATAGTTACATGCTATGATTATTGTTTTGAATCTTGTATGCAGCTCTTTTTAAAAAATATTTATTTTTTAGTTTTAGGTGGACACAATATCTTTATTTTACATTTATGTGGTGCTGAGGATCGAACCCAGTGGCTCGTGCATGCTAGGCGAGCACTCTACCACTGAGCCAGAACCCCAGCCCCTACAGCTCATTTTATTAGCCCTATTTATAAGCCTACATCATGCTTATAATGGCTTCCTAGTATTCAATTGAATGATTTATATTGTAATTTGTTTAATCAATCCTTTACTGATAAGACTTTTTGGTTACGTCTTATCTTTTACCACTAATGTGACATTGAACTTTCTTGTGTGTGTGTGTGTATGTGTGTGTGTGAGTGTGTATTTTTTTAACACATATGAACACATACTCTAAGATAATCTCCGTGAAGTAGAATTGTGACACAAAAGCTAATGAGCATTTAAAATTTTAAATGTTGTTAAGTCACCCTCCAAAGAGGCCTTACAGTTTACATTCTCATCAATAATGTATATGAGTACTTGTTTTGCCACACCTCAGGAACTCTGCTTTATCAAAATTTGTTAGGTAGAAATGGTATTTAATCATTGTTTAAATATGCATTTCCTTAATTGTGAGAGACATTGAACATCTGTTTATGTCTATAAACCATGTGCATTTCTTTTTCTATGAACCTTTCTCTTCATAAACTTTGCCCATTTTTCTAGTGGGTTGTCTTTTTCTAAACTTTGAATAGCTTGTTAGATTTTAAAAACAAATTGTAGATCTTTTTTGCATGTGTGGAATGTTTCTTGCCAGTCTGCCACTTAAAATCAAATACTTTTCACAAAAACTTTTCTAAAATGTATCATCCTCATTACTGCCTTCTTGAAAGAAATTAATCTGATTTTACAGTGAAATATACCCATCATAAAACTGAAAAGCTATATAGAAAAAGTATAAAAAAATGAAAATCGTTGGGGATCCTACTGTCTATATACAATTTGGCTAATATTTTGTAGCTATCTTTTTATAAATGGTTAGTGGGCAGCTCTAATACTACCTCTGGGGAAGAGATTAGGCTAAAAGTTTGCTCACTGCTCCAAAAATATTTGGAGTCAAATTGGTAGGAAAATTTTATTCAAAGCTGGCTTTTAAAAAAGACAGAAAAAAAAACCCTATTGTTTTAAAAGTTCCATCTTTGAGATCTCTGAATGTGAGCAAGGCTTTTAAAAGAGAAGAGCAGCATCCAGGCAGCAGAGGCAGGATGTAAGACAAAAGGCAGGAAGTGTACATGTACAGATTTAGTGTGCTGCACAGGCCTGGGAAGGGGACAGTCTCCATTCTCAGCTTCCTTAGGACATAGTGGTGGTGGTGGTTGTTGGAGGAGAACCCTTTAGCTCCCTCTCAGCATGAGAAATTTGCTCTTAATTTCAGAGGGAGACTTCCAAATTCAGTCTGTTTTAATATCTTTCAGTGTGTATATATGCTTTCAAAAATTAACATTTTTAATTTTTTTCTCACTGCTATAGTAAACCTGCTCCATTTAGAAAATTTGGAAAATGTTATGAGAGGTAAAATGGCTGCCCAGGGGAATTTCTAGGGTGATAGGATGGTTCTACATGGTACTTCAGTGGTGGATTCTTAACTGCTGGTTTGTCAAACCTTTACACAGGAAACTTGTCGCTTAATCAATTAAGACATCAGAATAGTTCTTTAGTATCCCCAGAGTATGATTGGATCCAGGATTTCCCCTCAGATACTAAAGTCTGTGGATGTTCAACTCCCTTATATAAAATGATATAGTATTTGCCTATAACCTGTGCACATCATTTAGTATTCTTTAAATCATCTCTAATACATTTAATACCCCTAATATAATATAAATGCTGTATAAATAGTTATTATGTTTCAGGGATCCAGTATTTGTGCTGCTCAGTACTCAGCTTAAAACTTGAGGGGAAAAAAACTTGGTTGAATGAAACAGTTTTATTCAAAACCAGCTGTGAAGAATACAGACTAGACTTTTTCATCTCAAATCTCTCCTAGGGGCATCAGGGGTGCAAAGGGTTTTTGTAGGAGAAAAAGGAGGTATAGTGGGATAAGAGGCAAGACATCCACATGCAAGGTGAGTCTTCTTCTTCATTATTTGTGTTTCTACTTGTCTGTCTCATCCTTTCCTAGAACATCAAGTAGAGCCTCTCCGTCCCTTGCCCTACTGGGAATTAAACCCAGGACTGCTCATACATCCCCATATTTTTTTTATTGCATTTTAAGACATGGTCTTTCTAAATTGCCCAGGCTTGCCTCGAACTTGTGATTCTCTTGCCTCAGTTTCCAGAGTCTCTGGGATTACAAGCATGTTTCACCACACCTGGCTTGCAATTTCTTTTCTGAAGGTATTACTTTTCTGCAAGTCTGTTCACAAGAGCTAATAAAAGGAAGGGTTGTTAAGGGGGAGGACTCTCTTTAGAATACCATGTGAAAAGGATGAGTTGTAAAAAGATTAGGATAAAGATTAGAAGAGAAGGGGAAAGTAATTCTGTTAAAGACTGCTTCTGAGCAAACTGTTCTGTTATAGTTACAGTGATAGGAGACAAACAGATGTGAGTGGTGGGAACACAAGGTTAAAGGAATAATTTTATAAAATGGGCACATTGTGTTCAAGAAGCAGTTTACCTGTAGCCCTACCTGGCTTAGGTAGACAGGAAGGATATGTCACATTCCTCAGCAAACTACTTGTTATCTTTAGGAGAAATGCAGGCCCAAAATAATGTCCATAAGAGGAACCCACGTTACCCTGAAGGGGGAGATTTTTGTGGTTCTTGTCACAGACCAGATCCTGAAACTCAGGGAGGTAAGGATGATTCCTCCTAATCATAAAATCTGTAAGAATTTGTGGGTAAGAATCCAGTTAAGTGCTTGCTTTGTCAGCACATATACTAAAATTGTAACCATACAGAGATTAGCATGGCCCCTGTGCAAGGATGACATGCAAATTTGTAAAGTGTTCCATATTTTTTCCTATACATAAGTGATGAATATACTGTAGGAGAAATTAGGAAAACTACTCTCAAACAGTAGCCTCAAAAATTAAAATACTTGGGAATCAACCTAACAAAAGAGGTGAAAGACCTCTATAATGAAAACTAAAGAAAGAAATTGAAGACCTTAGAAGATGAAAAAATCTCCCATGCTCTCAGATAGGCAGCATTAATATTGTCAAAATGGCCATATACCCAAAACTGTTATACAGATTTAATGCCACTTCTACAACAGTCCCAATGACATTCTTCATAGAAATAGAAAAAGCAGTCATGAAATTCATTTGGAAAAATAAGAGGCCCAAAATAGCTAAAGCAATCTTCAGCAAGAAGAATGAAGCAGAATGCATCACAATACCAGACCTTAAATTGTACAACAGAGCTATAGTAAGAAAAACAGCATGGTATTGCCACCAAAACAGACATGAAGACCAGTGGTACAGAATAGAAGACATAGAGAAAAACCCACATAAATACAGTTATCTCATACTAGACAAAGACGCTAAAAACATTCATTGGAGAAAAAATAGCCTTTTCCACAAATGGTGCTGGGAAAACTGGAAATCCATATGTAGCAAAATGAAATTAAGCCTTCATCTCTCACCCCACACAAAAATCAACTCAAAGTGGATCAAAGACTTAGGCACTAGAACAGAAACTCTGCAGCTAATAGAAGAAAAATTAGGTCCAGATCTTCATCATGTTGGCTCAGGACCTGACTTCTTTAATAAGACTCCTAAAGCACAAGAAGTAAACCCAAGAATCAATAAATGGGATGGATTCAAACTAAAGAGCTTCTTCTCAGCAAACTAAACAATCAATAATGTGAAGACAGAGCCTAGAGATTGGGAGAAAATTTTTCCCACATACACCTCAGAGCCCTAATCTCCAGGATATATAAAGAACTCAAAAAACTTAACATCAAAAAAACAAATAACCCAGTCAATAAATGCAAGAATAAGCATTTGAAAGTGAGATGTGGTCTTCATTCTGCCTCACTTCCCCAGAAGGCCCTTTCCTTATAACAATAGTATATTGTTTAGGGAATGATGCAAGCAAAAATATTTATACATATTCAGTATGGGTGAAATCTCCCTTCCTCCCTCTCACCCCTCTCCCTCCCATCCCTCTCCCTCCCTCCCTCCTGCCCCTCTCCTTCCCTCCTTTCCTTTCTTCCTTCTTCCCATGTGTATGGAGGGCTGACTTTATAGATCTATTCCATAGCTCTGTTTGCTGAGAGGATTTAAAACATAGTACCCTAGTAATAACAAGCATGTCTAGGGCCCAGATTTCAGTTTCTAAATACCACTCTCCAATAAAAGGAACAAGAATTCTTTGAAGAAATAGCCTGTTATAGGGCTGGAACAGTGAAAATGCAGAATGAGTTTGAAATATCTTGTAGTTATTTCAGAAGTCAGGAGAAGAGCTTATTAAAAAAAAAAAAAAAAGGAGCCAAGTTGAAAATGGTCAAATCTAGAATTGCTTGGGCAACAAAGTAACAATAATTTTGGATTGTAATTTTAAGAATCAAATAAATATTCATGAGCCCATAGTGTTATAAATAAATGCTTGAATAATTAAATAGGGAGAAGCCCACAACTCTACCTGAAATTCCAAGCATCCCTAGGTAATTTATATGCACATTAAATTTTGAGAAAATCTAATCTAGGGAATAAGTGTGCACCTGGGTTGAAAGCCTTACTAGATTCTTACACTCTGTACCTGTAATGGTGAAGAAAATCTAAAATATTTTCGCCAACAACTGAATAGTGACAAAACTTATTTCATCAATGTTAATGCATGTCTAACATCCTGATTAACAAGCCAGTAATTTCACCAGTGAAATTCCTTTTTTTTTTTTGGTACTGGGGATTAAACTCACAGGTGTTTAACAACTGACCCACATTCCCAGCCCTCTTTTATAGTTTATTTAGAGGCAGGGTCTCACTGCTAAGTTGAGTTGCTGAGGTTCCCTAAATTGCTGAGGCTGCCTTTGAATTCATGAACCTCCTGCCTCAGCCTCCCAATTTGCTGGGATTATAGGCATGCGCCATTATGCCTGGCTTGAAATCCCTTTTCTAATGTATCTATGCTAATTAGCCAAACATTTGATGTTAAACTGTGATAATAATAGTTGAAGTGCTTATGGTAGTCTCTGCTGGAGTATAGTTATTTTAATTAGATTGTTAGTAGACCCATACCAAGTATGATTCTGTAAATTACAACTAACTCTCCCTACTTAAGCCTGGGTATATATATCTGCTTTTTCACTTCTAATATTAATTCATGTTTATCTTTTTTTTTTCTTGCCTGATCTTGGGCAAAGAAATGTTTATTAAAATTAAAAACATATTTGACCCAGCAATTCTACTTCTAGAAAAAATGGTATTATGGGGATACATTAATTTCCCAATACTTTGGCTTATCATGAGTATGCAGGTAGCAGAGCCTTTGGGTAATGTGATTGAAGTGCTAATAGTTGGAATCTGGGCTGGAATGTATTGAAATGCATTGAGTAGAGCATACTATCTGTTATTTAAAGAATCTATAATCCTTTAATTTTATCAGTCAAAATTCTGCCAAACATAAGGCCTTATGCCCAGATGTTTTCAGAGATAATATTTATTCAATTTTCAAGGAACTGATGGCCCCAAATTATGCAATAGAAGAAAAGCAAAATTTTTCTCATTTGTTTTTGAAGTTATGTCAACCTTGAAATAAGTTGGTGCTGGTTTGTAGGGGTTGGGGGAAGGAGAATGTGTGCTGGAAGAATATGAACTGTATAATCTTATGGTTGTCCTTCTATATTATGAATGAAGGAATAGATTGTTATAGAGTTGGAGTGGATTATCTCTAAGCATATCCCTTTGTTTATCCAAGAAAACTCTCCCCTGTATGTATGGAAAGGTAGAAAGGTAGAAAGGAGGCATATTGACTGACAAATCTTTCTTTGTACAGAGAGAAAGCAGATTTGGATTCCTATGCTGTATTAGTCAGCTTTCCATTGCTGTGACTAAATACCTGAGATAATCAACTTGTAAGAAGGAAAGATTTATTCTGGCTCACAGTTTCAGAGGTTTCTGACCATGATTGGTCGACTTCATTGCTTTTGAGCCTGTGGCAAGGAAGTACATGATGGTGGGGAGCATGTGGTGGAGCAAAGCTTGATTACCTCATGGCTTCTGAGAAGCAAAGAGAGAGGAGGGCTGGGGTCATAATATCCCCTTCAATGGCAGTGACCCAACTTCCTTCCACTAGGTCCCACCATTTAAAGGTTTTACTACCTCGCAAAGGTGCTTTAGCACATGGTGTTTGGTGGACATTCAAGATCTAAACTGTGCTATACCGTCAACCTTAAATGCCTACATTCGACTTTTACTCTGGTACACTAACATTCACATTAGGAGCTGTGGCCTTTTAAAGGTTGGGTAAATTCTGCCAGTGTTTGGAAGACATAGTGGGTATGGCTGACCTCTGAGGGAACCCATCGGTTAGTTCCTTGATGTCTGTATCTATTGTAACCATCCCTCTTTGTACTTGCTGATTCTAAGTGTGTATATATAGGGAAGAATGGCTGTATTTCTACTGTAGCTTTTGTCTGTATATTTTTTTCTTTGCATATTTTTTTTAAGATGAGGCTTTCTCCATACTTTGTTCATTGATATCCACCTTTTGTCTTCTAAAATTTAACAAAACCTTCAGTCTGCTAATATAATCATTCTTTTACCTACACCTCAGCATTGTTATGGATTTAATCTCTTTTGTGTTTTCCCTGTCCTCTCAAAACAATTGTAGAGAAAAACGGGAAGTAAGTGCATGTCAGTATCCCTCCCAACTTAGATCAGTCATTCTATGTATGATTTACTACTAAAATAACTATTGCATTGAAAGTATTTGGCTTAGGAGACTATATTCTTTTTTTCCAGGGATATCATTACTTAAAACCTTGTTAAATTCTGAGTGAACAATGTGGATAAGACAAATAACATTGTGTTGAAGGAATATAAAAATCTCTTACCAACTCAGAAAACCTCTCCACAAAAGTCAAAGAAAAAGAAAATAATTTATTATTAATTAAGCATTAAACCAAAATGTGAAGTGCATTGCAGACAACCCACTAGAGGTCTTAAAAACTGAAAGAAATCTCTTACCCTGTTACACAGTCAAGCACATACAAACCACTATGTGTAGGCTGTAAAGAAATGATCATTAGTCCTTAAAATAAGAGGACTTGACATCACCATATGTCACACATAGTTCATCCCAAATTTACCTCATAATTAGGGCAACCATCAGTGACAGGTAGTTGGCATAAATCCAAAGGAAAAATAAACTCATATTTTTATGGCAGGAGTTAGTTTTGCAACTTGAAGTGAGGTGTCCACTGAAATTAGACTCCTACCTTCTCACAGATTCTGGAGATAGAGATATTATCTTCCTTGATATTTACTTTTCAGAGATGGCTCCCAGGTCCTTGAGAAAAAATTCCTGGTTTAAAATTGGCAAGAAGCCTATTTAGCTTTTAAAAAGATTTACATGCATCCTCAAAGGAGCAGGGAAAGAATTTGCAAGTTTTCTAAAGAAAATATTCCAAGAAAAGCAAGGGAAGTATCTGTTTCCCTTTCTGCAGGAGGGAAAATCAGGGTTTTTTTTTTTCTTCTTCAATTTATATTTACTCCTATTATTTCAAGTAAAACACAAAATAAAAAATGAAATAGTTATCTTTGATAACTTAATTTTCTTAAATTTGTAAGCAATTCTAAAAATGTCTTGAGTCTTTTAATTTTTTTAAAGCAATGTCAGCATAATTGGGCTCTCAAAGATGATTGCTGCTAGAATGAAATGCTTTTAGATATGTATTTCCTAATATTATTGTTTAAAAAGGCACATTCACATAGTTCATTGTCACTTCCCTTTTGGGTAGTAGGCCTAACTCCATCAATAAAACAAAATAGTATATCTTATCTAATTAAGTATGTGCTTACTATTTACTGTGCAAGTTTAATGTATACGTATATGGTACCGACACACTCTTTATCTATTACCATAGCACTTTATTCTATATCCTTCATTTTGTTGTAGTTGCTAAAGTAAATCTTTAGAGTTGGAGCTATTCAGTTTGCTGCAATTGATCATGTAATAGCTAGTAATTGATTGATGTTAATGCTTGTCACATATTGACTTAAGTTTCTTGGTTAACTTCTTCAATTTTACTCTTTCTGATAACCAATTTTAAAGTTGTAAACAATCCATAAAATAATTTGTTTTAAATGTTATTTTCTCATTTCATTCTAGGTAAATTAGATTGTTAATATGACTTAAGTCAGGTAGAATATTGCCTTTTGAAACACTGATTATTATTGTGGTGCATACTCATTTATCAGTTGGTAAATTAGGAGAAAAGAAGAAGAGTAAAACCTCTTTACTTTTAAAAGAAAATGTTTTATTTCTTGCATAGGATATATTGCCTTTGTCATTTTTTAAAAATTCAATTTTATTGAGATATACATTCATTATGATAGAACATACACATTTTAGGGAGGTCATTTTAAAAACCCACTGATAAAAAGTATGCCCAGGTAATGGTTTCTGTAGCTTTTTTCCCCTATAACTTTTAGTATGATTAATTTAAAATAATGTGCTGTGGTGTACAGACTAGCCATGCTGGCATCACCTGAGATCCTGTTGGACACACAGACTCTTGACCTTTCTCCAGACCTATTTAATCAGAAATTCTAAGGGAGGGACCTAGCAATCTGTGTTCTAATAAGTCTGCCAGGTATTTCTAATATGAAATATGAGGAGCATTAAAGTAATGAAATATTTTAGTGGTTTATATAAAAATTTCATGATACCTCAAGGTAACCTTTAGTCTAATATCTGTTTTGAAGATGTATACTAGTAAATGAGTAACTTAATCTGCTTAATTATTTACTAGGAATTTTTGTTTGGTGGTATCTCAGGTTTGTTTTACTGAAGAAAGCATTGTGAAAGACTGGCTACTTTGCTCAATTTTTAGTGTTTGCTTAGAAATTTAACATGACTAAGTATAAATATTTTGAGGTTTGTGAAACCTTTTTCTAAAATTGCTAATTACATTATGGAATTTAAAAATTTACTGCCTAATTAAAACACCTCATAGCAACTCTTTATGTCTCACATTTATACTCCTGTTAGTATTTGCCACAGAGTCAGACTTCATCTTAGACACATGGTATTAACTTGTTTGGTAGGCAGTGACATTTGCACAAAGTTTCTTTTGTGTTTTTTAAATTGAAGACTTGATTTTGCTGGATTTTAGTGCTGAGATCAAGAGGATCAACTTTGAAATTGACTTAAAAAATTTATACAAATTTCTGAGTCATCTTTGCCTTCTCTTTTAACATTATAACCAATCACCAATTCCTCATCAGTGCTACTTCCTAATTATTTATGAATTTAACTCTTTCCCTTAATATTGTTTTCTTCTGGTCTGAACCACCATCATCTGTCCCCTGGACTTCCAGCTGGCATATTGAAATCAATTTTTGCAATGTGATTAAAGCACTGTTTAATAATATACATCTGATCATGTCCTTTCCACTTAAAACTCCTAAGTAGGGGGCTGTAGTTGTAGCTCAGTGGTAGAGTGCTTGCCTAGCACATGTGAGGCACTGGGTTTAGTCCTCAGCACCACATAAAAATAATTAAATAAAAACAAAGGCATTAAAAAAACAAAAACTCATCAGTAGCTTCTCAGAGTCCATTCTACTGTGAGACCTTACAAGATGTACTTATTTAGCTTCTCCAGCCTAGAGAGCTATCTTTTTCTAGATCCTAAAATGTACCATGTTTTTTTCTACCATAGGGCTTTTTTAAAAACTATTTTTTTATTAAAGCATCGTTATTATACACAGTTATTGGTTTCATTTTGACAAAATAATACATGCAAGGAATTTGTTTGCAAGCCCCATCCCCCCATTTTCCTCTCCTCTTCCTTCCCCCTATTTTCCCTCCTGTATGCTATTACATTTCCTTTCTTCTACATATACATAAAAGTGAAATTCCCTTTGGTATCTATATATGGAATATAATGTGATTTTGTTAAGTTCATTTCATTTATCTTCCCCTTTTCCTTCATTCCTCCTTTTCATTTTCCTACTCCTCTGTTTTTCCCTGAATTTTTACACCATAGGGCTTTTAAATGTGTTATTCCTTTATGATCCTGGTCAGACTTCATTGATCTTTAGACTTTAGTTTATAGACTGCTTTTTTAGGGGAATCATTCCTGATATCCTATCTCCACATCCCACCCACTTACCTTCATAGCTCTTATTACATGTATATGTTCATAGCTTTATCTGTGTTTGGTCATTATCATACTTACTTTTGTATTTATTTGTTTATTATCTGCCATCCTTCTAGACTGATTCATGAGGGTAAGATCCACTTCTGGTAATCTTAGTGCACAGCCAAGTATATGAAGAGTGAACTAATGAACAAATTGTGATGACTTTTTATTTGTTGAAATAGTATTGGGTTTATTCAGTTGCCACATTTTTGTGAATAAGATGTTCCTTATTTTTGTGTATATAGATTATGCTTGTGCTCTTCAAAGGGACATTTTGCTTCAGGGACGACTATACCTTTCAGAAAACTGGCTGTGTTTCTATAGCAACATCTTCAGATGGGAAACTACAGTAAGACATATTTTTGAATTTGATTAGTTAGTACGAATAATTGCATAAATAGAAATATATACTGTCCCCTTAAAATCAATGTATTCTAGACAATTCCAAAGTAAATTCATATGTATGTTTGTGCATCTTTACTTAGGTATGAGTAAATTTACATGTTGTATAAAATATAACATATTTTTCTAACTTAATACCTTGAGCTCCATTTATACTTATTAGATATGGTTACAGAAAAATTTCAGATTGCAAAAGCTTGGATATATATCTGTTGGCTGACAAAACCAAATCTTATGTGAAAGACTGTCTGAGTTTTGCTTGTGTGTTGGTGTGTTAACGTGGAACATGAACACCCATGCGTATTTTCACACTGTGTCCTACTGTAAGATGTGGGAGTTGGTGGAGGAGAATACTGAAGGGAAGAATGTCTGAGTGCTTACCTTGTTTTTCCTAAAGGATATAAGCATGTGTTTATTAATCCCTTCAGAATTTTCTACTAAATATTCTGGATTAGAATTATATTATAATCCTTGGCATTTTGTATTGTATATACTTCTAAAAAATATACTTTTTTGATTTTTCAATTCTTTTGTATGTTTAGATTTCTATTGCTTTGAAGAATATAACCTTTATGACCAAGGAGAAAACTGCTCGACTGATCCCAAACGCTATCCAGATCATTACAGATGGTGAAAAGGTGAAAAACTTTTCTACCTTTGCCATGTTCCATAGTGTGAAGAAAATTTGCATCATACTGATCATCAGTATTGAGAATATAGGTAGCTGTTGAAGTTAGGAATATCTTGTAGAAATACACTGTATTTAATACTAGGTTTATGTATACTTTAATAATTATTGGTGATTAACTTTAAATGACTGACTTTTTTGTACTTCATAGTTTATGAGAACTTTCACCCATATTTTTCATTTTCTCATTGTTAAGAGGTAGGCAGTGTGAGTGTTGGCAAAATGTTCTTATTATTTCTAAATACTGTAATAATTTCATTATTGTTTAGTCAGTAATACCTGCATAATAGCAACTAATAAAAACAAATACCCTTGTGAGCAGAGATTTGGGCAGCATACAAGTAAGAACACATAATCATTATAGTCTTTTCTTAACAATGGCAATTAATAGCCATCATTTTATTATTCACCTGCAATGTCTATCATTTCTTGGTGGGGATATATGAGTAATTTTTCTGTACCCATCTGAAAAAAATTGTTCAGGGCTATGTGTCTGATATTAGAAACATAATGCTGAGGAAGAAGAAGAAAGAAGGAAGGTACAGAAGGAAAGTATGGTAGGGTATGAAGGGGAGTCAGAGAGAAGGAAAGAAGGAAGGAAGGGAAGAAGTAAGTGAAGGAAAGAAAGAACATGGGGAGAGAGAAACAGGATCATGATATTAAGTCTTTGTAATTATACTTAAATTTTTTTTTTTTTAGTTGTGGATGGACACAATATATTTATTTTTATGTGGTGCTGAAGTTTGAACCTAGTACCTCACAGGTGCAAAGCAAGCGCTCTACCACTGAGCTACAGTCCCAGCTCTGTAATTATAGTTTTTAATCTTATAAAGTTTCTTTCAAATGCACTTTGAGTTTTATTGTTTATTTATTTTTGTGGTGTCAGGCATCAAATCCAGGGCCTCACACATGGTAGGCAAGTTCTCTGACACTGAACTATATTCCCAACCCCTTATATTTGTTTTTGAACATTCTCATTCCTACAGAGTATTTCCAAATACAATACAAAGACCTTTCCCCACTGAACTATTTTGAGAGTAAACTGTCTGTCAACCCAGATGCCTCGTTGCCCTCATATTACATAACCACAATATAACCATCAAAATCAAGAAAGTAATATTGATTTATCATTGTTTAATCTTTGGACTGCTTTCAGTTTCCACAGTTATTCCAGTAATCTCATAGACTCAGTTCTGTGTTCCTCAGTTTCCTGGAGGAGTCCTTTTTGCCTTTGCTTTACCTTTATGTTCCTGACACTTTTAAAGATTACAGGTCAATTATTTTGTAAGATATTCCTGAATCTGTTTGATGTTTCCTTATGATTAAATTTGGGTTATGCAATTTTGGAAGAAATCCCTAGAAATGATGCTCTTTTGTTCCTTTTGGATCCTATCAGATGGCACATAATTTTAGTTTGTGCCATTACTGGTGATATTTATATTGATTATTTAATTGTGTCTGCCAGTCTTTGTTTTAAAGTTAATCTATTTTCCTATACAAATATTTTGAAGCAAGATGCTTTGAAACTATATAAACATACCATTCTTGCCAAACTTAAATTTATTTATTTGTTTATTTTTATCATTTACTTATATCATTATGAACTCATAGTTTTTATTTTATTCAATGCTTATAATCACTACAGTTACTTATTTTGATGTTCAGATTTCCCAAGTTTGGGCATTTGAAACTCTTTCAACCTGGTGTTTATGTTCTTTTAATTATTTTCAGTATTGTTTGAGCATTTCTTTGCTTTTTGACACAAGATGTTTCAGACTTTGGCTGTTCCAGTGCTAGAATCTATCATTTCTTCAAGGAGTTTTGATTTCTTTAGGAGAAGACCAATATTTAGAAGCTAGCATATTCATTGTATTGGGGTATCACTATTTCTGAATTCTCTGTGGACAGAAAAAGAGTGTATATTATGTGTATAATGTTTTATTGTTTATTTATTTTATGTAATCATACACCAACATAATCATACACCCACATTCAAAATGCACACACATACATATGCCCACTTATATATCTATCTATCCCTCCTTCCATGCAGCCATTCATTCATCTATCCATCTATCCATCCATGAACACATATCAATACTTCCCATTCCAATTGAACACCACAGAGTTCATTCTTGTTTTCTCCATTTCCATGTTTGTAACCCCTCCTTCCCTGACAATGAGAAACCAGGCTCCCATTATCCATTATTTGATCAGTTAGCCTGTTTGGAACCAATCTCCATCTCCACTATCACCCCCAACATGGATGTCCTTTCACCTCATGAAAGGTTCTGACAGAGTTGGGCCACTGCCCATCCCACCATGACTCAAATATTCTCATATGCCTGACCTATGATCTCCTCACCTTGCTTGGACGGATGCCACATGTCCTTTCCATGTATCCACATTTCTCTGTCAGAGGTCTTTTTACCCACTTGGGCTCTGACACTGTGTTGGGACAATGCTTCTGTGTGAACAACCTCCTCATTCTGATCTAAACACTACTTTGAGTTTTTCTGCCCTCATCCTCACTGCTAGTGTAGGGCCTTCTTTTCTCTGTTCTACCAACACCTTTAGTGATAACCTATTTAGTAAGGGAATAGTTTAATATTCTTACCTTTATAATTAATACATGCATACATTTTCATTATTTAACAAAATCATCAAATGATTCTTAACTAACATTTTCCTTCCATGCCAGTAAAGCCTCAATTCCATTGTCCTTCCAGAGGCAAATGCTATTATAATTTGATTTGTATTTTCAGTCTGCCTTTGTGTTTACATATATATGTGCATACATATGTGTATGCATATATGTATATATATATATGTATATATAATTTTGCTTTTCTAAAGTAAATACTATCTTATTCATATTGTTCTTCAGCTCTCTTGCTCTTTTTTGGGGGTAGTGGTGGTAGGAGTACTGGAGATTTAACCCAGGGGCCCAGAGGTGCTTTATCACTAAGCCACATTCCCAGCCCTTTTTAAAAAATCTTTTATTTTGAAACAGGATCTCACTAAATTGCTTAGGGTCTTGCTAAATTGCTGAGGCTGGTCTTGAATTTGCAATCCCCTTGTCTGAGCTTCCTGAGTCCCTGGAATTACAAGTAGGTACCAAGGTACGTGGCTGAGCTCTCTTTTTAAAAGAAATTAGCACCAAATTGGGTATAATAGTGAATGCCTATAATTCTGTGGACTGTGGAGGCTGAGATAGGAGAATCCCAAGCTGGGCAATTTAGTGAGACCCTGTATTTAAAAAAAGGGTTCTGGGGAGGGGGGTGGCCTGGGAATGTAGTTCAGTGGTAAAGCACTTGCCTAGCATGCACAAGGCTCCATCAATCCCCAGTACTACAAAATTAATGACTACCATCACCACAATAAAATCCAACAAAATTATCTCTTGGAATTGCAGATGGACGCATATAGAAAGATCGATCTCTGATTTTTGAAGTGTTATATAGTATTTCTTTGGATGTCTTGTGGTTCCGTTGATCATTAATTCAGTTTTAATATTTTACTCTTATAACAGTGCTGCAGTGAACAGTCTTACCATGCCTTCTTAAGCTCATGAGTTACTGTTTCTTACATACATAGTGAAATTTCAGGGGGAAACATATTAATTTTGATAATGATAATAACACCTAGCATTTACTGAACACTTGGTTGTAGATGTTATTTTAAACATTTCACATGTTTTCTCATTTAATTTTCATAAAAATCTGCTATTATAATTATTCAGTTATTCTCTTTTTATAGATGAGAAAAGAAGGCAGAAATGCCCCAAAGTCAGAGAACTAATAAGTGATAGAACCAGAACAGCAGCTTAATTCATAGACCCTGGTCTTAAATTCCTGTAGACTGTGTTAGCTCAATGAATTCTTTTTCTATCAGAATGGGGAAAAACTCTTGTACTGCTTAATCTTCATCACTTATATTATACTTTATGATTAAAGGAAGACTAATTATTTTACTTTTAGTTCTTATTAAGTTCTAGAATATATTCTGTGCTTCACTGGTTTAGATAGTACATTATTCAGAACTCTTCCTGAATTAGTAGGCTTATTCTTGAACCAACGCTTATTAATAGTTTGTTTGTTGTTGTTGTCATTGTTTTTTTCAGTCCTGGGGATTGAACTGAAGACCTTGCCACATGCTAGGCAAATGCTCTACTACTAAGCTATCTCCCCTTTTTATTTCTTGTATAGTGGAATGGTCTTGCTAAGTTGCTGAGGCTATTCTTTTTTTTTTTGGTAGTTATTAAAATAGCTTATTTATTTTTATTATTATTATTTTTTTATTATTAGTTGTTCAAAACATTACAAAGCTCTTGACATATCTTATTTTATACATTTGATTCAAGCGGATTATGAACTCCCATTTTTACCCTGTATACAGATTGCTGAGGCTATTCTTAAAATCCTCCTACCTCAGCCTCTGGAGTTGCAGGGATTACAGGTGAGTGTCACTGCACTCTACCTTGTTAATAATTTTTGAAGTTGGATATGTAGCAAGAAATAAAGGAAGGTAGTAATATGTCAAGTTATCCAGAAAACTGGGAGTTTTAAGGAACTGGAAATGTGGTGATTGTGTTCAAGAGTGGAGTATTTAGTTCTAGAAGTGGAGGTTAGCAAACATAGCATACTGGTGAAAATGAGATAGACAAGATTTTTCTTATCTATGTTTCTGAACACAGAATTTTAAGGTTATCTTAATTAGGCAAAACAATTTGGCTTAAGAAATGAGAATAGTGGACAGTAATAAGTAGTGACCATTACATTATATATTATGGTTATAAAATTATTTGAAAGAGTTCCTGGAAAAATCCTATTTATAAAATGTTTTGCTCTATGAAGAATATTTACCAAAATTTCAATTTTAGGAATCAGAACATTGATTAAAATCTGTGCACTTTAAAATCTGTCTATGTAAAGTGTCAATACCCTCAATATTTTTTGACATTTTATTTAATAACTCCAGCATAGAACCAAGATATCTCATTCCTGAAGATAATACCTTAGTCATGAAAGGTCACTAAGAAGGAGATTGGAAGAGATGTCACACTGAGAGTCTGTATTTAAAATAGGCTCTCTTGTCACATTTTCCTATTAAAGCCTATTTTACAGTATGACTTTGCAAAAATCAGTTAAATGCAAAGAAAAATATGAACTGAAAACAGAATGATAAATTGAAACATACTACTTTTCTTTTGTAACAAAAAAAAAGTTCAGAGTTAACATGGGTGTTTTATATCTATAATTAGTAGAAAGTATTTCTGGAGTTTTTCAAAGATTACAAAAGATAATATAATTTAAAATTAAGATCCTTAAAATAAGTCCATCTCTTTAATCCACTTGTATTTTTTGTTCTTTTTTTTTGTATATTTTGCTCAAATGTCAGTCAATTCAATTTATTTATCTTTGTAAGTTCAGAATAAAATAAAATTTGTAATTTTAAAAATTAAGTTGATTTTCTAATAAACTTTGATGAACATAAATACCTGCTTATGATATTTAAAGTCCCTTTCCCTACTAATACTGACAAAATTGTGTTTGCTGTAAGATACTATTTGTTGTGAGACACTATTTATAAAGACACTGTGTTCATACAACAGATACCTGCTTTTCTCCTATTGTAATAAAAAGTCAAATAAAAAAGAGTATATAAAGTAGGCAATTGCAACCTATTAGTTTGCTTTGACCATTGAAATCCCCAGCAGACCTCTATGGCAGATGCTTTTTCCTTCTTTTCTGTTACTAAAATTGTTCTATTATTTTTCCTTTGCAGTTTTTCTTTACATCTTTTGGTGCCAGGGACAGAAGTTACCTCAGTATATTTAGGTTGTGGCAGAACGTTTTATTAGATAAGGTAAGTGTTCATCCCAGAGGCAGGTGTTTGTTTTAATAAGAATCTTCTACTGGGTACATAAATAAAATTTATGAAGAGCTCTTTTATTTTTCTGAACCTAACTTTGACTACACTATTCAAATTCCAAAAAACTTGAAGCAAAACAAGATCCATAATTACAAATTAAGATGTTAATTGTTATCCCCAGGGTAACCACCACCCCTAGGAAAAAAAAGAAATTAAAAATATTAAAAGATAATAAATAAATGATATTAAAATGAACTACTATAAAATATATTTTTAACACACAAAATGGTAGTAAGGGAGCCGGGCATGGTGGCTCACGCCTGTAATCCCAGCAGCTTGGGAGGCTGAGACAGGATGATCGCAAGTTCAAATCCATCCTCAGCAACAGTGAGGTGCTTAGCAACTCAGTGAGACCCTGTCTTTAAATAAAATACAAAATAGGGCTGGGGATGTGACTCAGTGGTTGAGTGTCCCCAAGTTCAATCTCTGGAACAACAACAACAAAAAAAGCAGTAATGGCAGAATAAGTGGACATAAAAGTTATGACATAAAAACCAATTAGCAAAATGTAGACATTACACAGATCAATAAACCTAAGTGGATTAAACACTTGAAAGTTAGAGATTGGCAGAATAAAAAAGCATATGATCCAACTATATGCTGGATGTAAGAGGCAGATTAGATTTAAAGACAAAAATATATTGAAAGTAAAGGGAATTAAATGATATTTCATGCAAACCCTAACCAGAGGTGACTATAGTAATATCAGACAAAATAGAGGAATACCAAAATTTTTAGAGGCAAAAAAACAATATTTTATAATGATAAAAGGATCAGTTCATTTGGAATTCATAACAATCATGAATGTGTGTACTTTTTAACACAGTCCTAAAATATATAAAGCAAAACCTGACAGAATTGAATGAAGAAATAAACAATTCAGCAGTAATAGTTGGAAAATTCAGTACTCCATTTTCAGTGACAGAACAACTAGACAGAAGGTCAACAAGTAAATAAAACGTTTGAACAACACCATAAACTAACTTGAACCAAAAGACATCTGTGGAATACTCCGCACAACAACAGGAACACGTATCTTTCATAAGGGCACATGACATTCTCTAGAGAAGACCACATGCTAGGTAATAATGAACCTCAGTACATTTAAAAGGATTAAAATAATATAAAATGTGTTCTGTAACCATAATGGAATGAAATTTGAAATCAATTTGGGCAAATTTGCTAGAAAGTGGAGATTAAATAGAAGAGTCCTAAATAACCACTGGATAAAAGAAGAAATAGGGAAAGTAGAAAATACATTGTTGAGTTAAATTAAAACAAAACACAAAAGTAATTAAGTCAGGCTCCTGGGTTGGGGGCACTTGCATCCCATGTGTAAGGGTCAAGTTCAATTACCAGGTTCCTTTTTGCAACAGGAACATAAACACACAGGTGGGAACTTCAACTTCTCTCCTCCCCCATCCCTAGCTAATAACTGAAGTGAGCACATTGTAAAAGAACTTCAGGGCTCTTAGGATTGAATGGCTTTTGGAACTCAGTCTCTGAAGACAGGTTGTTCCAAGTAGCACCCCACTGGGGATGCTTTAGCTTTGCTGGAGTGAGGGTGATGTCTGAAAAAGAGGCCTGAAAGTCAGAGGAAGGCGAAGGCAGGGAGGAGGGACTCATGAGTCCTTCTTTGGTATTTTAGCTTTCTGCCTACACTGAACCACATGCTCATGCTCCTGGCTTGAGCAACACCTTAAGGTACAAAACATGCAGCTCTATTTCAAGTGGAAATTATACTCTCATTTTAAAAAGGAGAATGGCAGTTGTTTTTGCTCTGTAGTAGACAACAGTATCTGTTATATATTAAATACTATATAAAATTGGCCTAACAGGAAATTTTAAGCATGGTAGAATTCACCCAGAAAAAGAACTAAAAAAACAAACAGAAAACTACCTTCTTTTTATTTATTTTTTGTATTTTCCTAGTGATCGTTGAAGAACAATGCTATTTTTTAAAATATACAATATCTACAACAATAATAGCAACTCCCATTTATGCTGTATTAGGTGCCAGTACTGTGTATATTGTTGATATTGTCCAGGGTTTCACAAGCCCCATTTGCCTTCTCGTTTTTTTGGTTTGTTTTTTTTTTTGGTACTGGGGAATAAACCTAGGGGCACTTAACTACTGAGCTACATCCCCCGCCCTTTTTATTTTTTATTTTGAGACAGGGTCTCACTAAGTTACCTAGAGCCTTGCTAAGTTGCTGAAGCTGCCTTTGAATGTGTGATCCTCCTGCCTCAGCCTCCCAGGTCTCTGGGACTAAAGGCCTGTGCCACTGTGCCTGGCCTACCTTCTAGTTTTTTGAAGTGAAATAGTCACATTGGTTAGATTTCTTGATCTTGTGTAACACTTCTGAAAACAAACAAACAAACAAAAAAACACAAGAAAAAAATCCATAGATTATGCAAGAGTATAGCTATAAAATTCTATAAAAACCTTATACATAAATTGAATAATACATTTTATTTGGGTTATAATATTTGGAATCTATTTAGAGAATTTAAGTTCAGAATATTTTACTTATGTTTACCTGTAATTAGGAAATCTGAGAGTAAAAATAAATATTTTTTACTTCTGTTTACTTTTTTTTTGTGTGTGAGAAGGCTGTAAAAACAAAGCAAATTAATCTAGAAGAAAGATTATTGAAAGATTATTTGATTAAGTATTATGAAAACCAAACATGATTGTATGTGCTTGTTTCTTATTTATTAAGTCCCACAAAAGAGCTTCAGAAAAAGCTGGAGCCATACTATTGCCTTTGAAAAAGAATGCTTTTTAAAGAACCATCTTTTTCATTCATAACTTAGCATAACATAAGTTGGAGTTTAGTAGATATGTGTTAGAACTGCCAGCATACTCATTTATGATGTAATTTATAGCATTTCAGCTTAGTTGACAACATTTGAGCTTGGCTCTGATTGTCTATACAGCATATTGAGTTATCTGAGATTTGTGGGGCTAGAGGACAGACTTGTTTGTTTCAAATTGCCATTTTTAAAATTTATTCTTTTTAGTTATATATGACAGTAGAATATATTTTGACATAGGATACATACATAGAGTGTAACATCATTCTTATTGTACATGATGTGGAGTTGCACTGGTCAAGTATTCATATATGAAAATAAGCAGTTTATGTCTGATTCATTCCACTCTCTATCCCATTCCCATCCACACTCCCTTTCTCCCATTTCCCCATCCAATGTGGTCAACCTCTACTCTCCCCCAACCGCCTATTGTGAGTCATCATCTGCATTGAGAACATTTGGCCTTTGGTTTTTTGGGTTTGGCTTATTTTACGTAGCCTAATAGCCTTCAGTTCCATCCATTTACTGGCAAATGCCATAATTTTATTCTTCTTTAAGGCTGAGTAATATTTCATTGTGTACATGTACCACATTTTCTTTATCCATTCCTCTATTGAAGGGCATCTAGGTTGGTTCCATAGCTTAACTGAATTGAGCTGCTATGAATATTGATGTGGTCTCATCACTGTGATATGCTGATTTCTTAAAAAATATTTTTTTTAGCTGTAGATGGACACAATATTTTTATTTTTATGTGGTGCTGGAGATTGAACCCAGTGCCTCACGCATGTGAGGCATGCACTCTACCACTGAGCTATCACCCCAGCCTTAATATGTTGATTTTAAGTCTTTTGGGTATATGCTGAGAAGTGGGTTAATTGGGTCAAATGGTGGTTCCGTTCCAAGTTTCCTGAGTGATTTCCGTACTAGTTTCCAGAGTGGTTGTACCAATTTGCAGTCCCACCAGCAATGTATGAGTGTACCTTTTCCCCCACATCCTCGCCAACACTTATTGTTGCTTGTATTCTTGATAATTGCATTCTGATTGAGGTGAGATGAAATCTCAGTGTAATTTTAATTTGCATTTCTGTGTTAGTGATGTTGAACATTTTTTCATATATTTATAGATTGCTTAATATCTTCTTCTGTGAAGAGCCTGTTTAGTTCCTTAGCTCATTTGTTGTTTTAGTTATTTATTTTTTGGAGGTAATTTTTAAAAATTTCTTTATATATCCTGGAGATTAATGCTGTATCTGAAGTATAGGTGGCAAAGATTTTCTCCCATTCTTTAGGCTCTCTCTTCATGTTCTTTATTGTTTCCTTTGCTGAGAAGAAGATTTTTAGTTTGAATCCATCCCATTTATTGATTTTTGATTTTATTTCTTGTGCTTTAGGAGTCTTATTGTGGAATTCTGTTCCTAAGCCTACATGATGGAGATTTGGGCCTACTTTATTTTTTCCTAGGCATAGGTTCTCTGGTCTAATGCCTAAGTCCTTGATCCACCTAGAGTTGAGTTTTGTGCAGGGTGAGAGATAGAGGTCTAATTTCATTCTGCTACATATGGATTTCCAGTTTTCCCTGTGCCATTTGTTAAATAGGCTATCTTTTCTCCAGTGCATGTTTTTGGAGCCTCTCTCTAGTATGAGATAACTGTATTTATGTGGGTTTGTTTCTATGTCTTCTATTCTGTATCACTGGCCTTCATGTCTATTTTGGTGCCAATACCATGCTAGTTCTGTTACTATAGCTCTGTTGTATTATTTAAGTCTGGTATTGTGATGCCTCTGCTTCACTTTTTTTTTTTAAGGATTGCTTTGGCTATTCTGGGCCTTTTATTTTTCCAAATGAATTTCATGACTGCTTTTTCTATTTCTATGAAGAACATCATTGGAAACTTAATAGGAATTACATTAAATCTGAATAGTGCTTTTGGTAGGATAGCCATTTTGACAATATTAATTCTGCCTATCCAAGAAAAAAACAAAGAAAAAAATCCATAGATTATACAGGAGCATAGCTATAAAATTCTATAAAAACCTCATACATTATGCTCCATTGTTTGGGGCATAAATATTTACAATTATTATGTCTTGTTGATGTATGATCCCTTAGCATT